TTCCTGATCCCAGAGAATGGGGGTGGGGGGCTCCCCAGGGCCCGGGGGGTGCCACAGCTCAATCTGCTGGGTAAGGGGTGGCCCTGATCCCTGGGAATGGGCTGGGGGCTCACCCGGAGCTGGGGGTGCTGAGGGGAGTGCCACAGCTCAATCTGCTGGGTAAGGGGTGTTCCTGATCCCAGAAAATGGGTGAGGGGTGTTCCTGATCCCAATGAATGGGGGGTGCCACAGCTCAACCTGCTGGGTAAGGGACATTCCTGATCCCAGAAAATGGGGGTGAGGTATTCCTGATCCCAATGAATGGGGGGTGCCACAGCTCAATCTGCTGGGTAAGGGGTGTTCCTGATCCCAGAAAATGGGTGAGGGGTGTCCCTGATCCCCTAGGGGGTGGGTGAGGGGTGTCACAGCTCAACCTGCTGGGTAAGGGACATTCCTGATCCCCCTGGGGTGGGCTGCGGGCTCACCCGGGGCTGGGGGTGCTGAGGGGAGTGCCACAGCTCAACCTGCTGGGTAAGGGGTGTCCCTGATCCCCCTGGGAATGGGGGTGAGGTATTCCTGATCCCAATGAATGGGGAGTGCCACAGCTCAACCTGCTGGGTAAGGGACATTCCTGATCCCCCTGGGGAATGGGGAGTGCCACAGCTCAACCTGCTGGGTAAGGGGTGTTCCTGATCCCAGAAAATGGGTGAGGGGTGTTCCTGATCCCCCTGGGAATGGGGGTGAGGTATTCCTGATCCCAATGAATGGGGGGTGCCACAGCTCAATCTGCTGGGTAAGGGGTGCTTCTGATCCCCCAGGGGTGGGCTGGGGGCTCACCCGGGGCTGGGGGTGCTGAGGGGAGTGCCACAGCTCAACCTGCTGGGTGAGGGGTGTTCCTGACCCCAGGGAATGGGTGAGGGGTGTCACTGATCCCAGGGAATGGGTGAGGGGTGTCACTGATCCCTGGGAATGGGTGAGGGGTGTTCCTGATCCCAGGGCTGGGAATGGGGGCTTGAGGGTGGGAATGGGGAGCTCCAGGGATGGGAATGGGGGCTCGGAGGGATCAGGGATGGGAATGGGGTTCAGGAATGGGAATGGGAGACCAGGGCTGGGGATGGGGGCTTGGGAGTGGGACTGGGGGCTTGGGGGGCTCAGGGGTGGGGATGGGCGTCTGGGGATAGGAGTGGGGATCCAGGGATAGGAATGGACTCATGGATGGGAACGGGGATCCAGGGACAGAAATGAAAACTCAGGGATGGGGATGAGGACTCAGGAATGGGAATGGGGACTCGGGGGTGGGAATGGGGGGCTCAGGGTTTGGAATAGGGCTGGAAATGGAGCCCCAGGGATGGAAATGAAGCCCCGCAGTGCTGCAGCTGCACCCACACAAAGCCGGGCCGGGAGCTGCAGCAGTGAGCAGTCCCTGCCCCAGGGGCTCTGCAGCTCCGTGCCCATCCCATTTCCCATTTTCCCATTTCCCGTTTTCCCCCAGGCGCCTGCATCGACGACACGATCCTGAGCCGGCAGGGGGTGGAGAGCGTGGCCTTTTCCCATTTTCCCATTTCCCGTTTTCCCCCAGGCGCCTGCATCGACGACACGATCCTGAGCCGGCAGGGGGTGGAGAGCGTGGCCCGGCTGCCGTCCCTGGAGCAATCCCGGGCACAGACGGTGGCAGCTCTGTCCCTGCTGTCCTCACAAACCTCAGCTCTGCTCCAGCGCGGCCCCGCTCAGCTCACGGCGCTCCTGGAGCAGCACATCCGACAGCTCCGGGACACGGGGGACA